CAAATTTGACACTCAATTATCCTTGTTTTTTAGTCAAGGATTCCTTGGCTATGGCTGCTTTCAGCAGCTGAGGTTTGACAGCCTCTGCCTTCCCAAACTTTTTCTTTCTGGAGGAAGAAATATTGTGTGGATACCACGGTGTAATCTCACAGGCTCCACGCCCCCTCCCAGGGGTGATGCCCTTTCCAGGGCCTGGCAGACCTCAGCCTTCACAAGGACATTGGACCGTGTGTTTAACAGACTATTCCCTTTAAAACAGGACTCTCTCTCCTGCCTTCCTCCTCCCAGCCTTGTTCCCAAGTCAAACTTGAGGATGGGAGAGGCAGCAATGGGGCCCCATGGCCAGTGGGGTTTCACTGGGAAGGCAGTGCCCTCCCTGTGCTCTGAGCCAGGCACTTGCTCTCTCTGTAGCTCTGCACTGATTTCCATGGTGGATGAGCAAGAAGAGGTGGGAAAGGAAATTTTAAGGACAGTTGCCGTGGTGGTGATGGAGAGTGGGAGGATTTCCTGTTTTCCTTTATGCAGATTATATGTAGTGGGCAGTGGAGCACCTTCCTGCAGCGCTCAGTGCCTGAGGTGTGTGGGGAGCCTGTTTCCTCCTGGGGCTCATCTGAGCTGTCACCAACAGTTCTGGATTTTGTGGGAGCAGTCACCTGGGGGAAGGTTGCAAGGCAGGACACTGAAGTGCTTCCCTGCTGAAGGCCAGAGCATTTCAATGCCACGTGGGCCTGGGAAGGGGAGCAGGGGAGCACTGGAAGATCAGTGTTCCCCTGACCCAGACGGGCTGTTTTTGCATACACCTCCACCTTTTCACATAACAGGAGCAACTGGCTCAGCAGGAAGAGACGGAGACGGCTCCTGGCTGGAACAAAGGAAGGGATTTTGTCGCACATGCCGAAGTCAGGCAGGGGTGAGACAGGAACGAGACAGAGCAGGGGCTGGGGGTCTGCCTGGGTCCCCTGGTGTTTGTCCCTGCCCTCAGTGTGCAGGTGTGTCATGGGCAGTGTCCATGTGCCATTTGCAATTAACCCATTTCTCCACTGCAGGGCACTGACAGGCTGCGTGAGAGCAGCTAAATCACCCGAGCAGCCCCACTGGAGCACAGAACATTCACTGGTACTCCCTGCTTTGTGCCATTCTTAGCTCAGTTCTGAAGAGATCCCAGCCTGGAAATTAATTGTATGGTGAAAAGGATAAACAGTGGCATTACTCATCTGAGGAGTGGAGCCTTTTGTTTGAAAACTGTATCTGAAGAATGGAAACTTCACAGATAAGGGACCTGTCATTCTTTTCTGAGTGCAGGCACTCCTTCACTGTAGATTGCAGCTTGTCATCCCTCTGATGGCTCCAGTGAAGTCATAAAACACAGGGTCAAAGCTCAGATGTCTGCAAGATGGGTCTGGAAGTGTCTGTTCACTATTGCCATCCACACTGCAGGGTGGAATTACAGCCCTAATTCATATACATGGGGTGAGAGGCCAGGGCTCTGCATTTAACTCTGCCCCTTTTGGGGTCACCTCTGCTCTGCTAAGTGCTGATAAACACAGTGGGACAAAGATTCACGCTGGGTCTCAGGTGGGGACAGAGCACAGGGGAAGAACCTTTCCAGGGGCCAGGGCTGTGCCTCATGCCAGGTGCTGTCCTCGCCCTCTGCTCACTGCAGGGCACACACACTGGATATTGGAGCATGTCCAGGGAAGGGAATAAAGCTGGGAAAGGGTCTGGAGCACCAGGAGCAGCTGAAGGAGTTGGGAAAGGGGCTCAGGAGGGACCTTCTGGCTCTCCACAACTCCCTGACAGGAGGGTGCAGCCAGGTGAGGGTCGTGCTCTGCTCCCAGGGAAGAAGGGACAAAACCAGAAGGAAATGGCTTCAGGCTGTGCCAGGGGAGGTTTAGATTCGATAAGGACAAAACCAGAAGGAAATGGCTTCAGGCTGTGCCAGGGGATGTTTCGATTGGATAGTGTGGAAATTTCTTCATAGAAAGGATTGTCAGGCATTGGAACAGACTGCCCAGGGAGGTGGTGGAGTTCCATCCCTGAAGGGATTTAATGAATGTGTCAATGTGGAGCCTGGGGACATGGGTGGCCTGGGCAGTGCTGTGGTTGGACTCGATGGTTTTAGAGGGCTTTCCAACCCAAAAATTTCTATGATTCTAAGGGAGCAGCAGCACTGGGGTGGCAGTGGGGTGGCAATTCTCCTGCCTGGTGCCAGAGTTGGGGTGCAAGGGCTGGCTGTGACAGCCGGGGGTTCCCATCTCCAGGGCAGCACCACCACTCCCACAGTTCTGCACTACAGCCATTCCCTTTCTCACAGGTTCGGGGTGTCCCCAAGGCAAGAAGGGCCGGGTGAGGGTGAGGATCTGGCCCCTGTGGCCCGGGTGAGGATCTGGCCCCTGCGGCCCCACACGGGCCGGGCCGGGCCTGCTCCGTGCCCCTCAGCGCCGCCATCCCGCCGGCGCAGCTCTGCCCCGGGCCCGCCGCAGCTCCAACCAGCCCGAGTTTCTGTGGCCACTTTGAAGCTCCCAGGTCTCATCTCCCCGGGCATTTGCCAAGGCACCCGCTGAGGCTCCTCCTCTCACAGTGGGAAACAAGACAGCGGCTCCCTGGGAACACGGCTGCTCTCTTGAAGCATCCATTTGAATGCAGATCCCAGGGCTGTGGAGCCTCCACAGCCTGGCGTGCCCAGTTCTCCCGCTCTGTCTCTGTGGAGGTGTTTTTGTGGAGGGAGCTGCCATTAAGTGGCTCCTGAATAACTGATCAGGCGCTTTTCTCGCTCCTTATGACTTTGCTGAGAGCCCCGTGTGCCGGAGCGGGGATTCCCAGCCATGGGTGGAACAAGAACCGCTTCAAAGAGGTGCGAGAGGCAGGAACACCCTCCTTGCAGAGGCGCTGATCCAAGCCGTGGATCGGCCTCGTCTGTGCCAGAGCTGCAGGGAGGGTGCTGGCGGGGAAAGGTGGCTGAGGGGATGGGTTACGGCTTGGCTTCTGGAAAAGTGGAAAGGCAAATGAGTCATGGAATTGGGATCCCTTGGTGTGGTGAAGATAAAAGGGTTGCTAAGGTGGGGAAAACACCTATATTATCCTGATTTGGGAGCAAGGGGGGAAGCTGTGGGAAAGTGATCTTAATTTAAATGGGATGTGGGTGGGAACAGAGGAGGCAAGGCGAGCTCCATATTCCTGCTGCTGTTACAGGGCTGGATGTTTTTCTGCTGAAACTTTTCCTCTTGCTCCCATCCATGCACCTGCTAAGCTACAGAGACTCTGTCTGGCTTCCTTGGAATGGATCACGGAGAGATCCAGTGGCTCCACTGGCTCAGGAGCCCTGTGCCTGCAACAGAAGGAGATTTGGGCTGGTTAAAGGCACAATGAGTTCCCCATGGAGGGCAGGGACACAGGACCTGCTGCCTGGTCTTTCCCTGTCCTGCCAAGAGCTGGGATGAGGACATGGAGATGGATTTTCCCTGTGCCATCGCATCGCCCTGGCCTCTGGCCAGCCCATCATCCACACTCCCCTACCTCCTGCCGTGAGTCATGGCCTCGCCTCAGAGCTGACTTTGGCCTCCTCGGCAGGGAGCCACACCTTTGGTAATGACAAAAAGCAGCACTTGGAGCTTTTGAACTGTGACAGCTGTGGCATGGAGAGGATGCCAGTGGGCAGATCCCATGACTTGGGTGCCATTCCTGAGAGGACTAAAGAAAAACACTCCCTGGTCTGAGCAGAAATGTTTCCTTTCTGATTTTCTCTGCTCTGAGGCAATGTTTCCTGGCCTGGGCTCCACAGCTGTGCTACGCTGAGAGTGACAGAAGGACAGTGGTGGCCAAGGGGCTGCCACTGGTGGCCACAAAATTGGGTTTTTTACCTAGTGTGCGACAAGCCAATAATGACACAATCGAGAGAGAGACATTGATTATTTATTTCAGGGTTACGCAGCCTGGGTGCTCAGTATATTCCACAAATCCAGCACACCCCACTGACTTTCCTGCTGTTGTTTACACACAGAAATTCAGAGTTAGTAACTTTCCAAGCACAATCCTTTATTTGGGTTTGTCAGTAATTTCCATACAAGTTGCTTCTCCACGTGCCCAAGGGAAGGGTCTTCACCTGGCCAGGGTCTTTCTAACCTGTAGGTGTGATTTTTATTATTGTAACAAACATAGCTCAGCTATAGAATGTACCGGCTTTGAAAGTTACCAATGTTTATATAAACATATATAAATTTCTTAGTTCAGGTCCTTAAAGCTTGTAGTTTCAGGGTGTCCTTGACTAAGGGATGCAGCTATTGCCTGTTCCACTGATTAGAATCACAGAATCCCAGAGCAGTTGTGGTGGGAAGGGCTCTCTGGAGATCATCCAGTCCAACCCCTCCGCCAAGGCAGGGTGACCTGGAGCAGGTGACACAGGATTGCATCCAGGTGGGTTTGGAATGTGTCCAGAGAGGGAGACTCCTCCCTGGGCGGCTGTCCCAGCGCTCAGCCACCCTCCATGGGAAGAGCTTCTTCCTCCTGTTGAGGTGGAACTTGTGTTAACTGCTCCTTATCACCGGGCACCACTGAGCAGAGCCTGGCACCATCCTCTTGGCACACGATTTGAGCTGTTTGTATGGATTGCTGAGATTCCTTCCAGACTGACCAGGCCCAGCTCCTGCAGTCTCTCCTCATCAAAAAAATGCTCCAGATCCCTCATTATCCTTGTGGCCTCTGCTGAACCCAGTCCAGTATCTCCCTTTTTCCTTTGTCCTCGTCCAGAAGCAGACACAATAAGATAATCTTGACACACCCCACATTTTCCAGCCCTACCCACGCCCAACCCCTGTCCCTGGGGACGGCGGGGCCGGGACTCGAACCCGCACACCACGAGGAGCAGGTGGAGCGGGGCGGAGCCAATCGCGGCCGCGCTGCGCGGAGGAAGCCCCGCCCACGGCCCGCACCGCGCGGTCACCATGGCAACAGCGGCGCTTCCCGCGGGGCCCCGCGGCCGCCGGGGCGAAGGGGCCGGACCGGCACCGGGGCGGGACATTCCCGCCTCCCGCCGCCTTCCCGCCGCCCTCCCGCCGCCTTCCCGCAGCCCCTCGCTCCGGGGAAGCGCCGAGGGACGGCCCCCTGCCCGCCCCGCCCCCGGCCGTGCCCGGCCGCCGCTCTCCGCCGCCGCGGGGGAAAGGCCGCTGCGCGCCCAACTTCACTTCAAGCAACTTCCCCGGCGCGGCGGAGCCGGTGCTGGGCTTTGCGGAGGGAGCAGCCGGTGGTTGGGCTGGGTGAGTGCTGCTGGCGGAGCCACGGGGGTGGGACAAAGGCGGGCAGCGCTCGCTCAGCCGTAGGGCCGGCACGGGAATCCCTTCCCCGCTTCCCCCGGGGTGCCTCGCCCTCCTCGCCGGCTCCCGGGGAACCGGGAGGGGGTCCCGTGCCCAGGGTGGCCCCTCGCCCCGCTGCCGGACCTCCCGGCTGCTTCTTTCCCACTGCGTCAGCGCCAAGGGCTTGTGTCCTCGCGGGTTAAAAGAAGAGAAAAGCCCCCCTGCAAAAAAAAAAAAAAATCATTTTGTGGTTCCAGTTCGGCGGCTGGAGGTGGGCAGGGGTTGTAGGTGGTTTTTGGTGGATGGTGTTGTTGCTCGTGGTTCTGAGGATTAGAGCGCAATTTTGTAATCCACGAGGGCTGCAGTTATCTGTTCCTCGCTGGATTAGGGATGGTAATGTGCTTGGAGGTCTTAAATGGACAAATAAAGATGCTCCCCCCTTTCTCCCCCCCTGGTTTGCAGCCGGGCGACGGCTCCTTGGGCAGAGCAGGAGGGATTCAGGCTTCCCCGAGAGTGGTATGTGACTCCTTAATGCCTTGGATTTCAGGAAATATATTATCTGCTCGTTAAAATTACTTCGAAGTGCCAGTTTAAAGTCATCATGCTGCTTTTTAATTGAAGATGTTCATATCTTTGTTTGTTGGCAACGTGTGTGCAATAGAATCCCAGGATAGTTTGGGTTGGAAAGGATCTTAAAGCTCATCTCATTCCAACCCCCCTGCTAAGGGCATATATTTTTGTTTTGGAAGCACTTGGGTGGACAGATTTGTGTTGTTCTGGTGGCATGCAGCTCATTTGTTAATTTTTCCTCCTAACTCCACATCCCAGCGGTTTATATGTGCACGAAGGGACTTGGAGTGCTGCTGCTGGGTGGATATAGCTGGTCCAAAAAGATCACGTGCAGGTCAGTTCCTTGAATTTGCACGGAGTCCTGGGCTCGGATTTGGGAGGGAGCAGCGCTGGGATTCTGAATGGGTGAAGCTAATCAGTGAAATCCCAGAATTTCCTGTGTGGTGCTGCACCGAGCCGGGTGGAAAGCTTTGCCTTCCTGAGCCTGCCTGCAGCATTGTTGCTGTTCTTGCCTTTCTCCCGTCTGGAGGTGGGAGATTAATCCCGTGGATTCAGGTATTGACTTGACTTCTATTTCTGCGGCGTAATCCGGGCGATTCTGATTTGTGTGTGAGGAATGGGATTAGGGGAAATCACACTTGGCAGATGGCGGAGCCCTTCTGTGCCATTAGGAGATATTGTAACCTTTGATTATACCTGCAGGTCTGGTAGTAGAATTCCATTCCAGATCAAATATTGCTCATGATAAATTACTGGGATCACATTAAAGGAGCTGCAGCAAACAGAAATTGATGTTTTGTCCAAACTGGTGCTTTACTCCGGGGTGGTAAATTGCAGGCAATTTTCCCTGTCTGCTGAGGGGTAAACTCTGTTTCCAGGGTAACTGGGAAGTTGTTCAGCTGCTTCTGAGGTACTTTTTTGCCAGAGCTGAAGGTTGTTGGCATTTTCTTTTCCTTGTCTCTCCTCCACAAACCAGAAAGATTTGCATCTTTCTAACGACCACATGAAAATGGGAGTTTTCTTTGTTTTCCTGTGACGTTTGCAGGGTGTGTAGGGGAAGCAGACAGTTGTGTGGCAGAAATGCTAATAAAGTTGCCTGGCAGCTTAATCCAGGTAAAGACTTTCTCAGAAAAAAAAAAATCTTTCAAGAATTTATAAACTTTTCCCCTCTTTTGTTTTTTGGCTAGGATTTTCTTCACAATGTGCTCTGCCTTTTCCTGTAAGAATTATCAGGGATATTTAATAGTAAGCAAAACTATAAAGCCTTTGTGCTTCAGAGTAGTTAAGGAGGTTGGAATCCTATTTAAATAGATGTTGTAGCCTGTAATTCCCTTTTGATAGGTGTAGAGTTTATTGAAAATGGGTGTGTAAACTTTTCCTCTGTTTCAGACAATGCCCTAAGCTAAGTCTAAGCTAAATGCTTCCTTCCCAACGTATAGAAGACACAGAACCAAGTCACTCTGGAGTGTCACAGTATGGAAAGTCCCTAAAAGGAGGCAAAGTCTAGGACCGTTTCCAACTCGAATACTTTGGTTTGTCATTTTTTTGCTGTCTCATTTTATATGTGGCAGTAAAGGACGTGCACAGCCCCGGCCCCAGGGTTGTGCTCACGCTGCAGTTCTGGAGCTGCTGCTCTTATGGCAGGAGAAAGGGCACAGTACCCATCTGTGCTCCTCCTCACGCGGCTCTGGCCTGACGAGATAACCAGGGATTCAGAAAATTTCCATGGCTGATGATGAAGCAGTTTTTCCCTCTGCCATACTGAGGCTTTGTGTAGCTGCAGGATTTTTTCTTGTGGTTTTTTTTTTTAATTCCAGTTTTCAGCCATGTGCAGCACCATCACCTTGGGTGTTAATTGAGCCCCTTAAGTGTGCAGACTCCTCTGGCAGTGTCAATGGGCTTCCCAAATGCCTGATTTCTTCCAAAGTGGAAAAAACCCACTTATAACTTGAAAATAGGCTTTACTGAAAGCAGGAATTTCAGACTTTGTGTTTCATAAGTTTACCAGCCCTTCCTGCCCCATGTGCTCAAGGTGACATTCAGACCACATCTGAAAGAAGCAGGTCCTGACCAGCAGGTCCCAGGTGGATGGAGAGCTGAGGTATTCCTGCTCCTGGGATTCTTTGCACAGCTCTGTGATTTCACTTGGGTGTTGTCCTGGACTCTGCTCCATTCAGCACTCATGTTTCTCTGGCTATTAGATAATTTTGAAACCAGTCCTGTCACCTGCCCTCTCTTTGGCACGTGTTTGGTTACTGCAGAGTGCAAAAGGAGCTCAGTCTCCGTGGTAATGAATGTGCTGCTCTCCACTCCCTGGTCCTTGCCCTGGAGTTATTCTGTGTTTGGTTGTTGCTCATGGAGCTTCCTCCCTTCTGGCAGATTTTCCAAGTAACACGTGAATCAAATTGATATGATTTCTCTGTCCTTGAGTTTGTAAACAGAGATAAGAAAACTTCCCACAATCTTGAAAATTCTGGTGTAGTGTTGCTTGTGGGGAGTGCTGTGCAGATCAGGGATCACATTGGAGAGGATTTCCCTGAGTGTGTCAGTTAGGGACACATTACAGTTGTGATTTCCTCTCCTTGCTGCTCATGTGTTTAAAAATTGTGCTGGTTTCTTTTGGGCAGTTTCATAGACAAAGGTATTTCTCCAAGCCATGGTGTGATTTCTCAAATTGATACTCCACAGAAGTTGATAATTTGGCACTGTCCTTATCCAGGGAAGTGTCCTTTGGCAGTACATTGGTCATGCTGGGTAGTTAGTGAAAAATTTGACTAATTGTGGGCGTGTCTAAATGCAGATTGGAGTGTTCTGCATCCACTTACGTGTAATGTTGCTGTTCTTTCCTCATTTTCAAGCTGTTTATTTTAATGGATTGTTTTCTTGCATGAGGTTTGAAGTCTTTCACTTCCCAAGCTGGGTGAATGTCCATGATGCTGTTGATCATAGGGAGGTGTGCAGTGCTGCAGCCTTTCTGCTCATTGATTTTATAAATTTATTTATTTATTAGGGTAGGTGCAGCTTGTTCAACTCTCAAGTAGCAGGTAGCATTTGAGGAGGAAGGGACCATTCCAGTGAATCCTTTCTGGAGCAGGAGATCCTGCTGTGTGCTGTGGGCTGCTTGGAAAAGCGAGACTGAAATAAATGCTCAATCCTGCAAGCCCAGGCATGAGGCTTGTGGTGATGCTGTGAGCCCCGTCTGTATCACTGCTTTGTGTTTGGTGCACAGGGGTGACTGGAACCTGGGAATGTTGCAATGTTTTTAGGTGTGTTTTTAGTTTTGTGTTAAGAATTGCCCAAAGGCATTGTAGGGCAAAAGCCACAGATGTTTTGCTTTTGCTTCAGAAATTTCTTTAAATGAAGAGTCCCTGGTTGTGGTAGTAGGATTTGCAGTGTAAACCACTGCGTGGTTGTCTTGAGCTTGCAGCCAAAGAGACTGGAATAATAGCATCAGGAGAGCTGAGGAATTCTCTCCACAGCAACCAGGCTTGAATCCTAATCATGGCCCTCGGAGCCACCACAGGCTTGGTGGGTTTAACAGCTCAACTGGAAGACTCCATGCTTGACAAACTCAAGATGCACCTGCTCTAGGCAGCTGGATGTGCAGACTTTTCCTAAAAATGTCCAGGAACATGCTCTTGGGTTGCCTGGACATGTGCTTCCAGTGAGATTTGACTGCTGATTCTGAAGAGATGCTCTTCTTGCTGGGTTAGAAGTGAAGTTGGTTCTCTGTTCTCTTGTCCTTCATTGACTCTCAGTGAGAGAGGGACATCCATGAACTTCTGAACTCTCAGGCCATTCTTTTCAAGCTGAGTTCCTGGAATAATTAAAATATTTACAAGCAACAAAGCCAGAGCAAGTCAATTACTCTTTGCCTTGAGAGGGCTTCTGTAGGTGAAGAGGACTTTCCATGTCTTGAGTTCTGTTAACTGGCAGGAAAAACAAATTCTCATGAAAACCTGGATATTGAATGTTGCCAAAACATACTAAATTTAGTGTGGTGACTGTTTTATCTATTTGCAGCTCTTGCTTTAAAAGGGAAACATTAGGGTTTTTTTTTCTCATGATTGATATGACCTGAACATCTGATCACAGAAGGATGTTTAAGTCTACTGCGTGATGATTCTCCTCAGGCCTAGGCTTAAAGAATTCAGACTCTTAAGATTAAGCTGTTTATGGGAGCATACTTTAGGTTCTTTTCTCAAATCAAGGAGGTTTATTTTCTTGGTTCCCACTGTCTTTGTTCTGGGAATATATAATGCTGGAACTTTTGCAAACAAAGACACTTCCAAACAGCTTGGGGATATTTTTCAGTGCATCTGCATAAATAGGAGATCATTAATACATTTTTTTTTTGCAGTTCCTGAATGCCTTACACTTACGTTGAGACAATG